CTGCTTACCCAGGCGTTCGACTTCAGCAGCCAAACGATCCCTGTCGGTCCGGAGCAACTCCCCTTCCTCAGTCAACCGCCCAGACTTCTCCTTTTCCAAGGTCAACATCTCCCTCTCGGCATCAAGTATCGCGGTCTGCTCTTGGAACATCCCCTCGGAACGTTCCAGAGCGACCTTCAACTTCCGCGAACTCGCAGTCAAGGCCGCCTTCTCCTGCTCGAGCTCTTCAACGCGAGCAGCATCCCCTGCATCATCAGCCAACACCAGAGCCATTTCGGCCATCTTAACCAGCCCGTCCACGCTGGCGACCAGCCGCGACTTCCTCTCCTCTTTAGTCATCCTCTTTATGGCCTCGGCTTCATGAGCGACCACGGTCGGAGGAAACCGCTCGAAAAAACCCTCCTCCTCGAAGCAAGGGGGGAAGGCAAAGGATTGAACGGGACCGATATCTTCCCCGACAGTCGAACCGCCTTCCACGCGGGTCCTCTTCCTCTGTGTCAGAACGGCGCTGGCGTCAATCACCTCGACATCTGGATCTGACGCCGCCCCCGAGCTCGACGTCGAATCCACCCTCACAGGCTGAGGAGCGTTCAGATTTGTTGGTGGTCCCATCCTCGTCGCTTGCGGGGCCGGCACGACCTTCTTGCCTCGCCTCTGGCCGGCTGACAATTTTAGAAGCCTCTCATGTCGGCTGGCCATCGTACCTGCACGAAGTAAAGGAAAAGTCAGTATCGAGCAAAACGCGTAAATAAATGACGAGTAAAGAATTTCAAACAAACAACCTAACAGGCGGGCTGCCTGCCTATATGTCGAACATTCCACCAACGCCTTGGTGTCGATCGGGCGAGCCTCGAATGTTGGGTAACCGTCCTTGTCGAGGATATCATTCCCTTCCCGTGTAACCCACTGGGCGGGATGAAAACTATCGACGAAGTTGCAGAGAGCCGTGTACGCCCGCTGATCCTCCGTGCACATATCCCCGACTGTGGTATGGAAATAACCTGTTCCGTGCTCGAAGTGTCGGGACATCCAATACACCGGGAACTTAGCCCGACGTCCTAACACGGGGCTCCCGTCGTCGGTCAACATTGCCTCCTCGTCATCATCACTGACCGGCCCTTCCTCCTCGAAGAGGGAATCTACAGCAGAGTCGGTAGTAGGGCGTACCACATACCACTTATCCTTGAACCCCCTCACAGAGTCCATGTACATCCTAAACAGTCTCCTCGACTGCTTCAGAGACACCCAGCTGTGCTTCCCTCCTCGGGACTGACGCTGTAGGTGGAAGACCCGAAAAAAGAGAGGGATGGTCGCCCCTATCCTTAAATAGCGACACGTCAGCTCAAACGCCCGGATGAAGGCGAGAGAGTTTGGGTGTAGCTGGGACGGGGCCAGCTCCAAATGCGTAAAGACCCCGGTCTCAAAGTCTGTGAACGGCAGCCGCATCCCCAAGTCCTTAAACGCGATCTCGTACATCGCAAAGCCGTAGTCCGGGTACATTGAACAAATTCTGGCGTTGGTCGACGGCAGCATGACCACGAAATTTTGCTGGAAGTCGGGCTGGTCCTGCCCCTCTTCGATATCGGTGAACGGGCGTCGGTCATCCCGACTGTATATCGACGCCGTCCCTCTAGGCTCGGCGCCCACCCATTCCAGCGATGGGTCGGTCACGGTGTCTACAAGGTTGGCCGACTCGTCGGCACTCTGTTCTTCGCTATCACGACGACCGGAGGTGCTCGGCTCATCCGCCATGGTTACCTGCAGAGCACGGGAAACCAATCAGATTGAGCATGAAGTCCTATGCTCGACATAATCATATCGCCCGTACACTACTACACATCCATTTTCACAAGTGAATGTCTCCCCGACTCTCCTGAACCCAGTGTTCTTCCTCAAACCAACTGCGCGACCATTCTTCAAGTATGTCGACCCAAGGTATGAACATGGCGAGCCGCACTATGAAGCCCACGGCCACGACCATAAACATACCGGGCACCGGCATGAATCAGGCGCCCAGGATCATGAAGACCCCGGGCAGCTCCGAAGTTTTTCACCTAAAACTATGAATGTGCCGGCCACAAGTATGCGTTTGCCGGTCCTAGACATGAATCTGTCGGGCAAAACACGAGTTTACCGGGCTAATCCCACATTAACGGTCCTAAAACATCTACAATTTCCGAGAATCATGCATTCTAAAACAGGAAAATAAAGAAAATGGATCACTTACTTGGATCAAAGTTGGGATTTGGCTAAGAAATGAAGAATCGGAGACGGGAAGTCACGGTTGGAGAGAGTGTTGAGAGTTGCAACGAAGAGAGCACGGAGAACGGAAAACGTATTATGGGGCCCAATGACCCTATTTATAGTGATGACGTGGAATACCAAACGTCACCTCGTTCAGCCACGGACTCCATCTCCTCGGCGCACTGCTCCCAACGCAATGATGGCCCTACCCCCCTAGGGTGGCGGCACGACTCCCGAAAAATGCCTCGTGTGCTCGACTAACGCGCCCGGTACGGATCCTCCACGCATCCACCACCGAGGACGTCTCCGAGCACGGCACGAGGAGACCCCTCGAGGGCCCACGCCTCCATCCCGGGCACGAGACCTCAGCGACGGAACAACTGTTTCAAGTCATGGCTCCTTGCAAAGGAACCACGACTTGGGGGGCTCCTGTTCTGGACTGGGCCCGACAGGCCCAAAAGCATTACTATGGCCCAGTCCAAAGGGACTCACTAAGGACACACTGGGCAAAGGGGGTCACGTTCATGCCCGACACCCTGATGTCCACCTCGACATCTCGATGTCTAGTCCCACGCGACGAAGTCATGCTCGACAGACTACCGTCCAGCTCCGTATCCTGGCTTCCAGCTCGACACTCGCTGTCCAGCTCGAGGTCTTGACGTCGAGCTCGGCACCGTGCTGCGCAGCTCGACATGGACTCGAGCTGCCTTGCTAGGGCAGACTCAGTCACCCTTGCCCCCAACGATACTCCGGAAAGACCGCGTCTCCGTCCGCCCGCACTTCACGCAGCACATCCAGGAAGGGGACCACGTGCTGGTCCCCACTACCCACGTAGGACCTGGCAGTTCCTCCATTGGGCCAAATCCGCCCGGCCCAATGAAGGAACCTTGGCCCAGCGCTGGGGGCTATAAATACCCTCTGCTTCCAGAGGGTCAGGTATTGATCATTCTAACCTCAACTCTATTATCTGCTAGTACTCCCACTGACTTAAGCATCGGAGTGCCTTGCAGGTACCCCCCCTCCTCGTTCAAAAAGCCTTCAGCTCGGAGCAGCCGTGACGGTCCAAACCTTCTGATCAGGTCAGATCAATAATATATGCAATTAAGTTGATTACTTTATATAGAAAGCATGTAAAAGTGTTACACACGTTATGCAATCCACCTTTTCATTATAAGCACAATTAAACAAAACAAATTTCGGTGTAGTTAGCACATCAACAAAGTCAACTAATGGCGCAAAGCTTAACTATCTAAAGATTCAAGCACTCAAGACAGAAGCAAAATATCAACACTTAATCATCCATGAGAGAGGTATCATTCTTAACCATCATGAACAAAAGCTAAAATCAAGTAAATAAGGTTAATCAACGTGTAACCAAAATGTCAAACAATTGTTGTTCACATAAGGCATTAAACTAAGAGAGTCATCCAAAAGAGCTTGCCACAATATTGTTATATTCACAACTCTAAAAGAGTTTGACCACAACATTGTTGTATTCACATTTGATGATATCTTCTATGAAAATTTCAAATTTATAATTCCAAATGAAGAGCAGTAGACAATCATGTAACATCGATTTTAATTGATACACAAATAATATCAAGAGTATATTGAACATTAACAACTCAAATAGCCACAGGTCAACTTCCAAAAGAAACACCATGAGATACACAATAAGAAGTTGTAGAACCTATCCACATGTTTGATGAGTATGTGAGGAAAACTGAAACAATGCTCACCTTCAAAATTAAAGAGCCAAAGGGTTTAAAAGTAAAGAGCCAAAGTAGAAAAACAATTCTTCAGCAAATACATCTTCCAATAATTATTAAGTCTCATTTGTACCAACTAGCAAGCAATATAATGTAATGAATCAAGAATCCAAAGAAATGTCACATGTAAATGTAGAAAGAGTCAATCCAAAACTTCCAACATCGGTAAGATGAAATGCAGTAAGCAAAAAATTGCATTCACAATGTCTAGATTCACGGCTAAGAAGATTGTGAAACGGATTGCAAAGAAACTGTCACCAAAATCAATGTCTAGCTAGATTCACGGCTAAGAAAATTGCAAAAAGGATTGCAAAGAAGCTGACACCAAAATCAATTCATCATGTAACAACTTTCGTGTAGTAAGAATAGCAATCAAATCATGAAGTCCAAATATGTCTTTCAGAAATATGGCAAAATATGGAATAAGTATAAGATTTGATCTGAACAATCAAACAAAAAATGTTACCGAGCCTTCAAAAGAGAAAAGTAATTAGATCAGTGCAAAAACTAAGAAACATAAATAAAATTGCAAGAATTGCAAAACAGAGTCGCGAGAAATTGCAAAAGAGAATTGTGATATTAGATGAGGGAAGAAACTGTAACAATGACAAACAAAAATCATCCAACACAATTGAATTTGGAATATTTGAACTTAGGATTTGATATTTAAAAAGATGAGAAAACAAAATTCAAAAATTCATGGAGAAGAGTCAATAGAGTCAATCAAAACTCACAGAAAAAAGATATTTGAAAAAGAAATGGAGCGGAAAATTTCTATAAGATGGATACTAAATTTGATACAGTACAATATCATGAAACATGACATCAATGAAAAAGATAATGAAAAAGATAGAGAGAACTTAAAACTCTAGTTATTTATCATTATGAAAATATTACAATTGAAAAAGTTAAGTATGATTGCTTGTTTTATATCTATAATAATAATAAAAAATGTCGATGTTAATTGACAAACAGTCAGTATCATTTTCATTTTTCTGGAGTGTCAAAATTCAATGACCTTGACGGAGGTGGACGCTTAACCAACTTGTCTGATGAGCTTGCAGAGTTGTCATAGGGGATTGAAGGCCTTTTAGGAGGCTCCAATTCAGGTGTTGCTGACATCAGCCTGGATGGAGTTGACACAAATCTCAATGGAGTTGACATATCTTCAACTCTTTCAACAGATACAACTTTGATTTCAGAACACTCAATGGTTTTACTAGGTGTAGCTGGGGTAACCCTGGATGAACATGCTTCACTACTGGGTGCTTCTAAAACCAACTCAGCTGGAGAAGTTATCTGATGAGATAAAGTGACCTCAGAAGTGGAATTTATCTTCATGCGTAACTCTGATAATGGGACAGCTGAAGGTTGGAAGGAATCTGATGGAAATTTTGGGTGAACATTTTCCTTCACTCTCTGAGAAAACCGTTTTCTAAAAGATTGAGGCATATGAGAGGCGGCAAGTGCTGGCTGCTGGTAAAGAGCCTCAAGTGATGTCTCATTGGGCACTGAGACATCAGGGTCTATATTAACAGCATTGTCACTAGTTGACAATGTCGCTGCGGAGAATATTGAGGGAGTTTTAAACATGGGTAAAAGAGGCTCTTGTTTTGGGTGATTGAATGGCTCGGGCAGTATTTCCTCTGGAATTTCATCATCCTGTACAGAAAAGCATCATTTAGACTAAATAATATGCAAATGTAAAAGGACTAACAATGAGTTGGCATTAGCAATGTATCAACGAGTATTGCTTTGCAATTAATGTATCATACCTTTGGATGAGATTCCCAAAAATCTTTGAGCCTTGCACGAAATAACTTCCTCATAGATATAGTCCCAGGTTCAGATATCAACTTGGCATCAAACTCTACTGCATCAGAGTTTATAGTAACATGAAAATCCGGCTTCATGCAACTCGTTCTTGTATCATACACTAATATCTCCTTAATAGCAATTGCCTCAGGTAATATAAACTTTAATTGAGCCAAATGACCATATGTAAACCTCCTAAACAAGTCATAGAAAATCAAATTCAAAAAACATAGTTTAAAATATTATATAAAAAAAGTAATAATAAATCTAATCTTAAACCATACCTCTTAGTTAAAGTTTCAATCTTTGGCCTGATATTAGTGAACGAAGTCATTTCCCCTTTCAATCGCAACAATCGAATCGAACTATCCAAGCTATTGAAAAACTCACCCAAATTTTCATACCTGCACAAACCCTTCATTAAAAATAAATCACAAAAAAAAACATAAAAACTCCGAAAACCCTATATTCAAAAATTGAAATGCTTACTTTTCAGGAAGCTCCAATGATTTGTCAGCCAATTTAATAATCTTTCGCGGAGACGAAAATTCAATTTTCCTTCTAGCAGTTTCGCCCTTCAACAAAAGTGCGACTCCACGTTTGCAAGTGTGTTGCGGCATCTTTGAGCTTAGTTCTTCAATGGGATCTTTGAATAGAGATTCGGAGCTTGGAAATTGGGGGGTTTTCGATGGAATCTCTGAAGAACTCATTCTTTTGGACTGTGAAAATTGAAGAGTTGTGGCGGTTTCTAGCCTACGATAATGTTCCCGCTAAAAAACCTGTTGGTTACCGCGATTGATACTCGTTTACAAGTTATTATATATAAATATACGAATAATTAATTATTATTATTATTATTATTATTATTATTATTATATTTTTATATCAAAAACAATCCTACGTTGAAGGAAGAAAAGATACAATCTTGCATAAATAATATGTATTTTAGAATAATTATTTGATTCTTTTTACTTTAATTGAAGTTTTTCAATAGAAAAATATGATAGTTTGTTTTTTATTTAAGTGGTGTTAACCTGTATTTTCAGGATATTGATTAAAAAATTTAAATAAAGAAAATATTATATATTAAATATATTGAATACATATAATATTTTGTAAAAAAATTAAATATTTATATTTTCAATGCAATCAATATATATATATATATATATTTTTTTTTAAATCTCTTTTTTACCTATTAAAGAATATTCAATTTACTTTTTAATTTTTTAACCAATATCCCAAAGATACTCATTAATATTTTTATTTTTATTTTTATATTCTTTTAATATCTTTTTCATTAAATTAGAAATTAGAGCTTATTTTAGCTTTAAATGATATAGAAGATTGGTATTTTTTTTTACTATACTCAATCTCCTATATAGTTTATATTGATATAAAATTTCAATATTCATGTTTATATATATATATATATATATATATATATATATATATATATATATATATATATATATATATATATATATATATATATATATATATATATATATATATATATATATATATATATATATATATATATATATATATATATATATATATTTGATTGTTAGATCATGAGATTTTATTTGTCTATTTTTATAAGATTTATTTTCAATTTTTAATTATAATAATTACTTCTTTTGATTTGAGAATAATGTTATTATATCTTTTTATATAATTTGTAGTAAGTATTTTTATGAAAATCTTTTTTTAAAGAATATACAAAAAAAAATTATTAAATCTAATTTAATTTTATAAAATCAGTTTGTAGAATAATGATTACTTTCATTTATTAAAGTATATATTGTTCATGTTCAAATTTTATAAAATTAATTACCTTTATTTATAAAGATATATTATAATAAACTCGTAAAATATTTTTTTTAACAGATTTGACACTGATTATCTTAATTTCTACCATTTACTTAAATGGAACTTATAATACTTATGAGCATAAAGAGCATCTTACTAAATTGTTGTATTAGTTCATGTCATCATATAATATCCCTGTGTAATAAATATCCAATCCATTATATACTTCCCTAATTCGAAGAGTTATATCAATAAAATACTTAAGTAATCAAAGATTATTATCTAACATATTTATAGGCTTTGTAGAAAATAAATGTAGTTTGATTTTTGCAAAAAAGTACGTTTTGACAATGGACATAGCTTTTTAGTTCCACGCCTATCAAAAATTAATCGATAGGGTTTGTTTCTAGCATTTATTCCCTACTTTTGTATTTCTATTTAGTTAAGCAATTATAACTCATTTGTGTGAAGGTGTGCGAGAGACACAAAAAAATAAAATTTGAATTGGATTTTTAAGAATTTTTTTTTTTAAACCAAACACTTAAAGTTAAAATAAGAACAAAAATAAATTAATATAATTATTTTTATTTTGATTTACTATTAATTATGTTAATCAAGTTTATCCACTAAGGTGATTTATCTTTTTCAACAAATACTTAATCAACTATAATCAAACTGATTACAGACACAAACAAAGACTAACTATCAATGTTTACAACCACAAAGACTATTTGTTAATGTCTTCTTGAGAATTCAGACTAAAGTCATGGCCTCTCAAGGAACTTATCAACCCAATGTGAAAATACAAGATTGTGTGTTTACAAGATGTTTATGAGAAAACAGATTTACACAAGTTGAAATACACAAAAATAACACAACAATGTTAGAAGCAAGTTAACGAACAACAATTCTTTGTTAGCAAGTTTATGAACAAAAGTTTCTTGCTTCACAAAATTTTACAAAAGATTTACAGTGAAATTTCAACAGTGTTTTAGTCGAATCATTCAGCGCAAAGAGTTATTTCCAATTCTTCCTCTTATAGCCAAAAAGAAATTTGTTGGAAGGTAGAATATGAATACCAGAATTCCATTTGTCTTCTTGATTAACAGTCAGTGTGAGTCTTGCTTAACGATCAATGTGAGTGATAGACAACATCGTACCAATTGTACAATCCTTTCGCCACAAAATCAGAGTAGTCGTAGGAGGTGATCTTGTATTATTTCTCACGAAAAAACTTTTGTCTTATCTTCTAATCTTCACAGGCTTCAGAATATGTTTGAGTTGAAGCATGTTTAGAACGATCGAAACTTGTCTTCAGAACCTTTGTCTTCAGAGTCTTCAAAACTTGTTCAACAAAACCTTGTCTTCAGAGTCTTTAGCATGTTGGTCTTCAGAGTCGTTGGTTTCAGAGTCTTCAAAACTTGTTCAACAAAACCTTGTATTCAGAGTCTTTCAAAACCTTGGAGCAAGAGAGTCTAGAATCTTTATAGCTTGAAAATCCTTAAGAATCTCTATTATCAGAGTCACAAACAAAAGCTTTAGAAGTTAACGTTCCTCATAATCATTACTTTTAGAAGCATTTTGATCATGTAACACGCACTCGTATGACTTAGTATGTTGAGTCCAAAATGTGATGACATCACACACCATATCTTTAGAGTAAGAACCTGTTACAAAAAGTTACACACTAGATAAAACCATTAAAGTATTAAATTGTTATCTAATCACCTATATATGGTTACCATCAAAACTAAAAGCTAGATGTAGAACTAAATCTTATTCTTATAATCCCATTTTTTATGATGACAGAACCATGTATTTTGATAAACAATCTACATTAGGTTTAATCACATAAAATAATTCAGTTAGCTAAAACAGCTCCCCCTGAGTTATATACTCTCGTAACTTATTTAATATTGTTCAGGGTCTCTCGTTAAGTTCAAGACTTAAAGAAGTTTTGAGATATAGCACGAATCAATCAGAATGAAATAATAGTTCCCTGGTTAAATTACTATCAAGAGTCTGACTAGCGGTGCAAAAATATGCATCTCAGATTCTGGCTTGTTATCAGAATATGGTGAGCTGTTTGCACTATGTAGACCTGGTGTGCCATCAGAGTCTGACTAGAATTGAGGAAATCTTCATCTCAAATTTTAGCTTGCTATCATAACATAATGGTGTGTCATATCAGAGTTTGATGAAGTCTCGGAGCTTGGTTGTGAAACCAAAGCTAGATTATCAAGTTACATAACTTGATCAATCTTGTCACTTCATCAGAGTCTGGTTAAATTTCCTTTGAACAAAGGTTTGATAACCCATGAATTTTGAGTCTTTAGCTTCTGAGTCTCCTTTAGAGCTTCAGAACTTACCTGTTAAGAAAAATCCAGTGAACTTTCTCAAAGTTCTTGAGTCAAACAATGTTAGAGGCAAAAATATAGAACCATGTTTGGTAACAGATTATGAGATACGATATATATTACAATCATCTATTTTCTCCCCCTTTGTCAGAAATGAAAAATATTTAAAAAAGACAACGTAAACTTTCATAACCAAATACCAAGATACAATTTTTTTAGAAACAGAAGAAAATACTTAAGTTCTAAAAAGTAAAGGTAAAACAAAGGATCTAAGGGTTTGGTAGATAAGGAGGAGTCAACCTTGCTATTATTTCCTTCATCGAGTTGAAGAGGGTATAATTCTCTTTAATCTTATGGTCTTTCTTGTCAAGACACTGTAGAATGATAACATTTGTCTTCTTCAACTATTCCAAGATTTCCATCAACCCAGGTGGCAGTTTTGCAACAACATCAGTCTTCACAACCCCAGAAGGGGTACCAACTTCAGCAAAAGACTTCTCAAATTCAACCATCTCAAAAGCAACAACTTATGTTGGTTGTTCATCTATTACAGAAGCAAGATCTTCTTCTGGAATGACTACTTCCGTAACAGGCAAACAATGAAGGATAACAAGAGGTGCCTTAGTAGAAAGCATGGCCTTATGCTTCTTCCCTGCTTCTTAGTTACAAAAGACTTGAATGATGTTAGAGTTAACTGTCATCCACCTTTTGAAATTAGACCAAATATCATTGGTCTGGTCAGGATCCATGCTATCAGAAGTGATTTCTACGGTATATCACAGTGTGTCCAGAGCATTATGTTCAAAACGATATAGAAACTCATCTAGAGGATTTGAACAAACATCAGTATGAAGAAGGAATGGATCATAAGAGGTGGAGTATGGTTCTAAAGGTTTGTCTGGAAAGGTGAAGAATACAACAGAGTTTAAAGAATTTAATTTAGGAGGGATGAGTGGAGAGAGCATGAAAGCATAAAAATCATAATCTTTGGATTCATGCAGAGGAACATCTGAGTCATATAACTCATAGTGATAAGTTGAGACATGATCTTCTTCACAATCATACGAGATCATAAGAACTTGATCTGAACTGGAAGAGGTTTCGGCTTCAAGTTGTCTCAGAAACTTGGCATATTGGTTTATGAAAGAAAAAGTGGTTTCAGATGTGGTGGAAACAATCGTTTTAGGCTCAAAAGGTTGAGAAGAGAAATACGATGAGGGTGAAGAAGAGGATATGGGAGCAGATGAGATTATATCATTCTGACAATATACTCTAGCCCAAACCTTTCTTGAAGAACCATCACCATCTTTAGAAGGAACCTTTATTTTCTTTCAAAAATTTGGAACCTTAGGTTCTTCGGGAATATTATCAGCATAACCACAAGTCTTGGCATTATCATAAATACTTCTGATAACATGATCATGAGGACATTTGGGTGGTATTGGATTAATTTTACAACAGCTTGAGGAGACACACTGAATGATTCCTTTTTGTCTAAGTAATCCTCTAAATATGAAAGTATAACAATTGGAGAGTCA